AATTTTCAAATAATTCTTTTTAATAATTATTGTTTCAAGTTTATATCAAAATCTGTTTAAAAAATTAAGACTAAAGTAGGTAATATTCTTGATTTTGTAACTAAACAAACTTGTTAACAATGCTTAAAGATATAAAACATTAAGAAGTTCATATATATTAACTAGTTTGTACTTTGGATTAAATTTTTTCTAAGCAAATTTCTTTATATATTTAGTATCCAAATCAAAAAATATTTTGGTAGCAAAATTGGATTCAATTAGCACAAAAACAAAAACAAAAATAATAATTTTTTATAGTAATAAACTGTTGATTTTGGCTATAAAAAATTTAAATTTTATAACTAAAATTTAAGAATTTTGTATTAGTTATATATTATAGATTATAAATTCTATATTATTCTATAACTAATTTTTTAATTTATTTTAAATTATTATAGATATTAAACAAAATTTTAGCTTAATTATATTTATATTTTAGATTTTTTTTATTTTTTATATTTGAATTTTTCAGAAATTATATTAAATTAAAATTTAAAATATCTATAATATTGTTTTATTTTTTTGAATCTTAAGGTGAAACTATTTTTTTAATTTTATTGAAACTTAATTGCCACAAGTAATAATCATCTGTGATTTACAATATATAATTTTGTGTAATATAAACAAATAAATAAAAAATTTATTAAATAAAAAATATTTTTTGGAGGACTTTAGGATAAGGATTAGAGTTTTTATAAATAATCAATTAAAGAATTTCAGTTAAAGTATTAGCTTTAAAAATATTAGGTATTAGTATTATACTATAGAAATATTAGATATGGAAAGAATCTGAAGTAGATGCTGAAAACAATAGAGTATATTAAGTAATTGGTATTAAAATTAATAAACTTAGCAGTAGAGTTAACTCTACCAAAAAACTTGGGATATTCTATAGAATAGGTAGGCAAACTCTGCAAACTTCACAACTTCAATATTAAAAATTAATGATTACTAATCATTAGCAAAGCTTATTTCTTATATTGCCTATTTATTCTATAAAATATTTGAAACTTAGTAGCAAAGTTAATAGAAATGAAGATAATATATTTGTTAACAATTAAATAAGAATTTAAAGAGCAATCCAAGTATCAGTTATTAGTAATAGATAGAGTTAAGTATAAGCAAGTAAATATAAATTCAATAGAATATTACCAATATGTGATAAGAATATATCCAGATAGAGTAGGCTGTCTGCATACTTTGCTAATTATAATTTGGTCATTGTGTGTTATAATAAGTCAGGTTTAGAATAAAGTAAGAAGTGTCTAGTAATAAAACAATAATAATTTGTGTTGAGGAGTGGTCAACCAATGGTTGGATTTTTAGGATCAAGAGGATTTGAAGATGAGACACTAATGCGTGAAGTCCTTTCTACTGTTGATGAAGAGCATCAAATTTTAGCCACAACGATAATAAAAAAAGGTTATGATGGGGATGAATTCAATAATCATAGATTTTCTAAACATTATGGAGGTTTTTATGAGCCTTGTGGTATGAAATTATGTGTTTTAGATGCAAGAGGTTATGCGGCAGCTCTTTCTAATGGATATCAGGGGGGAGGATATGAGAATATAGGTATTTAATTTTATTTCATCTTAATTTATTAATATCGAATTTAATGTTTATAATCAATAATATTGTATAGAGAACTATCCACAAAATACGACTTTGCAATTCCTCGGTCTTTCAAATATTCACAAAATTGCCTCATCGCATGCCGCTTTATTAAGCGCAATTACAACTAATGCTTCGTCACCGAATTGGTTTTCGGTACTGAAGAGTACAGGATGGTTGGATCATGTGGCTGATTTACTCAGATCTGCTGGGAGTAAAGATGGTGTTGTCGGAAAATTAGTGGATGAAGATGCTAGTGTTTTAGTGGTATGTAAATTACTATATAATTGCCATATTTGTATTTAAAGTTATTTTACGAAACTTATTAATAAATCCTGCTATTGAAATTAAAGCATTGTACAGATGGTTGGGATAGGTAAGAATTTATATTGTTTTGCTTGTGATACACTTGTAAATGTTGTTATTTATTTTATTTTATTTTTTTTAATATCAATAATTCATAAAGAACCACGCAATTGGTTTCACTGGCTCAAATAATAGTGGATCCATTTTATCGCACAATTAAGGTTTGTCTCTAATGCAAAAATTGTTTTGAATCTATTGGTGATAGCATTTTAATAATTTCTTTGGTTATAATTGAATAATAGGGTCTACAAGTGTTAATTGAGAAGGAATGGATTGCCTTTGGACATCCTTTTCGCTCACGTAGTGAACTCCCCAATAATCTTTGTAATAGTGATCCCAGATTACATTCAAAGAATAAACAAACATCTCGTAATTTCAAAGAACCGCAAAATTTACCACCCGCCCCTGCTCCTGTGTTTCTTTTGTTCCTTACTTGTCTTCATCACATCTTGGAACAATTTCCATCAGCATTCGAATATAACGACTTCTTTTTGCTGTGTCTTGCTCGAGCCGCGGCAGGAAATTCCCCGTTTGGTGACTTTCTATGTAATTCTGAATGTGAACGGGAAGCTATACAATTAAGAGAAAGAACGAGAAGCATATGGTCATGGGTCAAAGAACGTAGGCAATGGTTTAGGAATCCACTATATCAAAGAATTCGTCCATATGACTTAATTCACCATAATGATCACAGTACGTGGAGTGATCATTCGTGGAAGAAGGATGTTTTGCGTCCAGACACTGATGCAAGAGTTATTACATTATGGACTGATTACTATTTCCCAAAAAATGATCTATCAATTGCCTTACTATCAACGCCCTATGGTGCTGATGTTGAACTGGAAGAAGGCATAGGACCTTCTCAACATCGCATTGGAGGATTTCCTTCAGAATATTACCTTGTCAGCCTTTTCATGAAAAGAAAAAGGCGGAGAATTGCAGAAAAAGTTTGGACCGTTTGGAGGTCATTTTTATTAGAAAACAGACAAAAGTCATTAAAGACAAAGAAAGAAAAAAAAAAAGTAGTAAGCGAAGAAGAAAAGTGGGACGTTCTTCATGGATCAGAGTGGAAAGATGATGCGTCAAATCAATTGCAG